TAAATGAATGAATGAACAGTGATTAAGAGTGAACCATCTGAGATGAAGGAAGGTTACATCAGGGAAACATGCTTTCCAAATACCTGTTTACTCAGAACACAGAGCTCACAGAAGTACAATGTATGTTCTGCCTCAATGCCTCTCACCAAAATCAAATTCATGGAGCAAGCCCAGATTGTTCATTTTTAGCATACCGAAAGGTATGAAATATTTTCAAGACAACTGTTTCTCATTCCCATATGCCTGGAATATGTGCACATGCACAGGTACCCATGTCACGTACCTTTGGTTGTAAAAGCAGATGTTCCCAAGCATGTATCAAGCTCTCCACAATTCCTTCTCCAAATAAGCCAGCATCAACTGTTTCTGTGACAACCAAGGAAACTCTAGACAAGAAAAATATGATGTACAACAAACACTCCTGTCAACAATCAATCATTCTTTTAAAATAAAAAACCCACCATACCAATATGAGCTCAGAGCAAAACTTTTAACAACATTCTGGAGTTTCAGTGCATGTGAGCAATTTAATTCTTCCAAAAAATTATGTGTTTTGAATTGTTGTTAGAAGTAATTGAAGATAGAGATAAAAGAGAGCAAATATTGAGCAAGAATTTACTGTAAAGCTTCTTCCTCAGCATTTATAAATAAATTGTGTGGGAAGAATCTAGCCAAAACAGGAAGATGTTTCAGCCTGGGCACACAGCCAATGATACTGCAGAATATATATTTTGTGCAATAGCATGTACTCGTGCATGTGTATGAAAGGAAATTAAAACCTCCAAAACTATAATCAAAGCACAATAAAATTCCTACACAGACTAACAACCCTAAAATCTTAAGTCCTCTGGAATTAAACCAAAAAACATACAGCATAATAAGAGGTGACATTTCCAGAACAGCAGTAATTTATTTATTAATAGTTGACATCTAGTAACTCATTATATACATTAAAGGGTTAGATATGTTACAGTAGCTCAGCTGACACAATTAGGCAAGGCTTGACTGGCCTAAACGAAGAGCTTCATCATTTCAGATCACAAGCCTGTACCATCACCAAAACTTTATTAAATGCCAGTAACTCCATCCTATTCAAAGGCTGCAGAAGTGAGCCACAAGATCTTAAAAGTATAAAAGCATGTTAAAATTACTTTTATGACATAGTAATCTAATTTTTTTTTCCCATTGCTGCAGTATGCCCCAAAGCTCCCACCATCAAAGAATTAAACTCTTTAATTTACGACATTGTTCATCTACCACAGAAATTAGGATGATTTGAAGAATATGTCGTCATTTTTGCTCTTTAAACACATAAAAGATACAGAGAACCTTTCCACATTATGAGCAATATCACAGCAATGTTATTTCCTGTTTGGGTCACAAGACATTTCCTATTTTCTTGAACTTAACAGCAAACTCAAAATACCATCAGAAGAGAAAGCAACAACATACCTTTCAGGTATGTCCTTTGGAATTTCTATATCAAGTGACTTCAAATGCAGAAGTTTGATCTCTCTTTCCATATTATTTGCTGCCACCACATCACGGGCAAGTTCATACATGGTTTTGGATAATTCGCAGGCATAGACAAAAGATGCTCCCGCCTTTTTTGCAAACATACTGAAAAACAAGAATCAGGGGTTTTCCCCTCCTCCACATCTGCTTCAAGTCTAAAAATTACCCTGAAATTAACTGGTATCTCTTGTGTGAACACTGATATTGCACAAGTTGATATCCTCTTGATATGTTATCAGCAAAAAAACCACCACAGTTAGCATAAGGACACTCCCTCAGCTCTGTTGAATCTACTCTTTACAGTCAATATTTAAAGACAGGATAAATAACATTACAACTTCAAAACCCACATGAGTAATTAAATTTGAACAGCACTTATTGACACAAAAAGCATCTACAACAAATAATGAAAAAAGGTTCAAAAAATACTACTAGACACTAATCTCCAGACTCACTGGCTTCTGAAAGCTTTACTTGCTTTCTCAAGTTCTGTCTCCATGAAAGGATCAAAGTAGTTATTTTTTCCATTCTCAGCCAAATTTTGTCAGGCAACCACTACTTTTCTACTAAATTCACGTGAAACGTGCATTGTGGCGTACCTCAAAATTCCTGTTCCCGTTCCGATATCCAGGACAGATTTGCTCCCTGAGTGCACGGCGTTCTCAATGGCCCTGAGATAGGTGAAGTTCCTCTTGGCATCGTTGAGCATGATGAAGTGCCAGCGCTCCACCAGCCAGTTTGCAACGCGGTAAAAATTCTCCTTGGCATCGGCAAAGTCGGGGTTGAGCTTCACTGCTTTATGAAAATACCCAGCTGCTTCGTCTCTGAAGCCCATTCTAAGAGCAAAAATGACAAACAAATGGAAAGTATGCATGCAGCTGTGAACATCTGAGGGTCTGTAAAGAAGTCTGAAGTTAGCTAAAACATAACAGAAATATTTTGCCTTAGCTAGAAAAATTATCTTTAGAAAAAGTGGCATTCCTTTATGAAAAACAATGATTTATAGCTTTACATCAAGCCACTGTAAAATACAAAGCCAGTTCAGAAACACCACCGTGTGTGCTAACCTTCATACAGTACTGCATCCTTTGACAAAGTAAAACAGGTTTCATTTACGAGAACTCACTGCAACAATATGACAGCAGCAGCTCTGCAATCCATTCTCACAGATATTCAACTCAAGAGAATGTTATAAACTCATGAGAATGCTATAAAACTGCTGGTACTCTATTTAACTGCAACATCCTACAAAACCACTGAATTTTGAGTTGTCAGCTTTTGCATTAAGTGCCAATTTTGAAAAATGAAATTAAAAGAAACCAAAAAGAAACTAAATAGTGAATCTGAATCAAGTTTTGATACCTACAGCATAATTTCAAATCAGACAGCACTGAAAAAAGCCCTCAATCTATCAAATATTTGTATACATTTTAATGCTCAATGCTCAGACAGGTGTTCGTTTAAAACAAAGAAATAACAAAAAGGAAACCTAACTAAAACCACCTGGATTATGATCTACGATTTCAGTCTTAAAATTCCAGCCTTAGAAGACCTGAACAACAACAAAACGTGGTGGTGCTTTTTTCCCCCACTTCTTCTGTGATTAACAACATTTATTTTAGCACTGGCTACTCTTTTTAAGCTATTGAAAACAAACAGATGTGAATGTGTTTTTATTTACAACATGACCCTTACAAAAACTGGATATACATCACTACAAACCTGAAGAGATGTTCTCCCATACTGTTACAGATCACTTCATCATTGGGATACAGTTCAAGTGCTTGTTCATAGCAGTTAAACAGATCTTGAATCCGTGCCAGAGAATCCAGTTCTTCTGCCCATTTAAAGAGAGTAAACTGAAATGTTTCCTAGAAAATAAAGCATAGACCACTGAGGTGCTGGGAGTAGGGAACTGAAGCCCTGAAAATGTCTGGAGGTGTCCTGACATAGACCTGGACAGCCACACACGAGGATGAGCACCCAGCAGTGTTTACCGAGAGCCTGTGCGTATATTAATGCATGCTCCAATACTAACAAGGCTCTGTTTTTATTAAATGCCATTGACACACAGAGACTAAAAGAAGATTCTATGAACTCCCTTCATACAGAGCTCCTTAAAGAAGTCATTTGCCATCCCAATTATTACTGATTTTCCCAATTGTCTTCAATAAAAACAGAAGTCAGTTATATGCAACAAATCACAAGTACAAAACATGTGACAAAGACCTCAAGAGAATTACAATAAATACAGTTGCAAGCAATTTGGAGAACACTTACTTTGACAGTAGTTTTTAACTCAGGAGCTAGATTTAGTACCAAGAGATAGTGAGCATATGCAGTTCCAAAATCCTGGTTCTCGAGGCAATGCTGAGCACTCTGTAAAGACCTGGAAACCAATTCCCGTCTGCTGGCTTCTCGGCCACCCCTGTGGTTAGAATGAAGTTTGGCATTGGAGTTGGGCATTCTGAAGGATCTAAATACTCACTTCTTCTAAAAAAAAAAAGAAAAAAGAAAAAAGAAAAAAGAAAGAAAAGTCACACATACTGTAGGCCAGAATGTTTGTACACGAAGTTGACAGATCAAAAAACATTTCAGTTTTCACTGGCATTTAGTAAAGACATCTCTCCTCCCACCAAGCCCTAAAGATTTAAAACCATCTAATCTTCATGCTACTGATAATTCCATCAGCTCTGAGTGTTCACCATTCAAAAATCAAGTGTGCACCACATCTAGATTAAACCAGGTCCTGGAAATACATTACATTTCTGACTTTGTAAAATTCATTTTTGTAACAGACATTTTAGCACATCTCTGACCAAACAGTTTTACACACTGGAAGTTCATGCATTCAATAAATTTCACAATCAACCACAAAATCTGCAGGTTAAATTTCTTCTGCTTGCACAACAGCATCTTCATAAATCAAAGCCTCACAGAACACAGAGCTAACGAGTTCATAGTTTATTTTAGACAAGGTACCACGGCTATTTTTTCCTTCAAGAAAACATTAAAAAGAGTGACCAGAACGAATATGCACATTTTTATACCTGCCTGCGTTACGCCTGTAACTTTCAAAGGTACTCAGGTGAGCAGGGCTATAGTTTGTAGAGATGGGTCCCAAAGCTGAAGAACACGAAGGTTTCCTGGAGAAGGACTGCAAGAAACACAACACCATCACGACTAGACCTTTTTTTTTTTTTTTTCCTTCTGTTTTCTTAAAAATAAAGTAAAATAAGCAACAAAACGCAGAACAAAGTTCGGCCACTCAAGCGCGCCCCGGGACGCGCAGAGCCGGACAGGCCCCGCCGCTCGCATTTGGGCCGGGCCAGGGCTCCAGGCACTGCCCTACGACGGGCTGCCCCGGCAGGCTGCGGGGGGAGGTGGAGGCTCCCCCCTGCTCCGGGCCATCACCTGCTCCGGGACCATTCATCACCTGCTCCGGGACCATCCATCACG